CTTTTCTGTACATTCCCCATCCTGGTGGCTTTCATTTCACTTTTAAATTTAGGCCAGCTGCAACTAAGCACATGAAGGCGGGTTACGGTATTGCGGTCCCACAGCGAATTTCGCAGACGCCGCCAGCTCCATAAATAGTACCGCATTCCCTTCCAGTCGTTCCAACTTTAGGACCGGTCTTCAGGTTCCACTAGGTTGAGTTCGGTGGTTTGAAGATGCCCTAGTATCAAGGATAGCGCAAGAAGTCAAAATGACCTACAGAAGGAGGGCCTGAGATAGCTTACTGATGGCTTTTCAGTCGATTGAGTAGCCAAAGGTATGTCTGCTACAACTATGAACGGTGCTGCACGTAATTCAAGAACAGACAATCGACACAAATGGCCTATCATTCAGTGACGTTTCAAGAGCTATGACTGCACTCTGATTGGTCTGAATCATAGAATGCCCCTGCTTTCTGCGCAACAATGCTTTCGAGTCAGTCGATCCGCTAATAATCTCCTACCACCTTCGAGTTGGATTCTTCAAGAAGCGTCAGCGTTAGGATGCTTACAGAGTTTGACGATGTGTGTCTTTTCAACCGACAAACGGCGAAATACGCGTTGCTGACCATGCGTTGACGACGCAGGACAGTTGCGTTTTGAGCTGCGTGAGTGTTATCGATCGGTGTTCAGCATTGCTAACGCGTGGCCAGCAACGATATCGGTTGGTCGGTCGTACGTTGAAAAAATGCACGTCACTGAACTCTAAAAGCAACAAAGCACCCGTAGCGTTTCCGCGCTGAAAAGGTGACTTAGCCCGACGCGCTTCGCCCCCACTTTTTTGGGGCTTGAGGCTGCGGTTTTATGTTTCATCTGTGCCGTCGATACACCGAGAATATATTTTCTGAATAGGTGTGGTGTTTTCATGTCTTTTTCGTTATCGTTCTTCAAATTTTTCTTTTTTTTCTCATTCTCTACCCCTGAAGTTATGAGTAGATGAAACAACAAAATGCGTAATAGCAAGGAGGATCAAGCTTAAGTTTTTTTTCTGCTCTATGATAGTTGGAGAAATCCTAAAACTTAGAGGCAGATCACCCAAAACGGTGGGGCTACCGCTTTAGTGGGAAACAGTCGGCTGTGCGTGCGTGATATTGTTCTGAGGAATATCGCGCGGCAAATACAGTAAATTCTTATGAAAAACTCGAGATTTCCCTTTCTTAACGCGTGATTGCGCGGCGCGCCGTTTACAGTGAGCGTGTTTTTCGGGCGGTTCCAAGACCAGTCACCATGCACTACGGCAGGGTCGTTGGTCTTTTTTACAATTGCTGTATTATTACCTCCTGTTTTTGTAAAAACATACATAGCACTATGCTAATACAGAACGAGATCACAGTTTTGATGTGCCCGCTTAACTCCACATTGTTCCCTTCCCTCCGCAGGACTCACTCTCTTCCGTTGAGCTATCCCCCCCCCCCACCAGGTTAATGCTTTATCTATAAAAAGGAAATGTGAGAGCTGGATTTTCCATATCACTACCTTTATCGTAGTCATAAGACGCGGACGGTAGACCGACCGACACACCGACAAACGCCTGAACTGACAAACCGACACACCAAGTTACTGCTTTATAAATAAGAGAGGTATAAAAAAGCTCGACGGTGAAACTGGTCTGTGTTAAGTAATGGCGATGTTGCAAATCATCTTGTGTCAAACAGTGAGGATGTTACGAAAACAAAGTTGTTGAGTTTGCTGCGCTTTTCGTATGCCTATTAGAGTTCTACCACTTATATTCTACACGGAGCGGTTAGTGTACGCAAATGAGAAATGCAGGCAGAGGTGGAAGTTATGGCAACAGGTAGAAGTGGATAAAGAGAATGCATTCCGTTATAGAAGTAGGTCTGAAAAGGTGTATGGCCGACAGGTCGTTCCCACTCATTCTGACTACTCCTATTGCTGCTGTCAGACTTCAACGACGCAACCGACGAGCGCGCGTCCGACCGACGTTGTTGCCATCTATGTGTTGACAACACGGAACGCTGATTGATCATGCGTCAGTGCTGTCAACAAGTGGCTAGCGCCGCCGTCGGTCGCACGCGCGCCGGTAGCGACAGCCGTCGGTTGCATCGTCGAAGTCTGAAAGCAGCCTGTGGCTATTTCAAAGTTTCATCCACTCATTACTGGGCATAACAGCAGCATCACTTTAGTTCTTGGGAGTGTAGTTCGGACATCAGAAACCTCCGATAAGAGAATTGCATGCAATACTAAATGGTTAATAACTACTCATGCTTGAAGGCGATCAACATAATGGTGAGTTTTGCACTATCATGACCACAATAGAAAATTTTGAGAAAATAATTGGTCCAGTGTTCACACATTACAAAGTAAATTTTGAATAAGTAATAAAGACGATTTGATACAGGATTGCTTTGGAAGTCGGATCAGCTGGGACTGCTACGTGGAAGAATGTTATTTGACATGTCCTACTTGTTAGACATGATTATAACATCAAGATCAAGTTCTAGCATGTCCTAGCTGTCGTTCTTTCCCGCCCGCTCGGCTGCTTTCATAGTCCACGATTTGGCCCACGACGGGTCGCGGGCTAAATCGTGGAATATGAAAGCAACCCTTAGCTTTTTTGTCGAATCCGCGCGTGTGTACGGGAGCGCTTCGTTTCGCACGTCTGTCGAAACTAGGTTACGCCGCAGCCGTCGCACGCGGCGCGTCAGTCCGCGATTCTGGACGGATGTCGCAGTTGTGAATGGGGCATAAAACCCCGCGCTTGGTCTGTAACGGAACTTTTCCCCGATCGCGGCATTCTTCCTTGCGGCATGAGGCAAATGTCGTTGCAACTACCGTACTCCCCCCGCCTTCCTGCCAATCGATAAGACGCGGAATTTTTCGTTAATTGCCCATCTTTTTTATTAGATTTGATCGTCTTTTTCTATTTCTTTCTCATTTTTATGTTTATTAGATTGATTAATTAGATTGACTCGTCCTGATCAAGACTGCATTGAAATTGAAGAGAGCGGTCAGCCAATTCAAACAATTAAAGGACTCCCTACCTCACAAATTGCGCGCTATAATCTGCCATCGCAATCCTGCGATACGCGGCGGGTGCGGCGTGCGCGACGCCGTCTTAAGGGAGAAGTTCCCGGACCCGCGCTTGGTCCACGGCAGCCAGCTCAAAGAGGAGATAACACGGTCTAGTGCAAATCATTCGCTCCATTGACACTTACAATGGTACGCAATCCCATTTTAAGATCGAATGGGCTGCGGAGTTCGCGAAGAGGGCGCGGTGACCTAGTTTTGACGGACGCGCGGAACGGGCGTTTCCCCGTGTTTACAGAGCGGTGCGATACGTTCATATCGTCGATAAAACTAAGTCACGCCGTGCAGTGTGATATCGGGTTGGACAACCGTGCAAGGGTTTCGCGGCTTGAATTAATTTGCCGCTGAAGGAAATTTGAATACAACATCGATTATGCACATCTCTAGATGGGAATCTGGGAGGAATCTGCACATCTCTTGATGGGAACCTGAAGGGAATCCTCCTTACCTCTTCACCTTTCTGCCTTATTTAAATACCCTATTTTCTACATAGAATTAAACTCGACACACCTTATTCTTCTTAACTTTGCTTCTTCGACAAACAGATTCAAATCATTGGACTAGTTTCATAACGACAAGAATGGACTATCCTTCGTACAGCGTAGGCGGCGGGCGGTTGTCTGGCTTGGTTGGCATAACTACTATCCCTATCTACCAGAATGTGATACTTATCAAGTGATCGAGTGACACCAATGCTTAGCAACAGCTCCGATTCAACTCGTATGCAATTCTATTGGTTTCAACGATTCAAAAATTCCATAATCTGATCAGAAATCAAGGCTGCTTAAAATACACGCAGTGTAGCCAGTGGCTGCTTTCATAATCCGCCGGCCAGCCGGCCGGTTGGCGGACTATGAAAGCAGCCGGATGCAAATTAGCAAAACCCAACATCTATCAAAAAATTTTACGGATCTCAATTTCAGTTCAGGCATACTTAATTGCTTACACCAGTCGGTTCGCCCGGTCGACGCCGACGGCTCCCCTCCCCTTATGATAGAGTTTTAATAGTCGGCAAACTTTCGGTGGAACAAATGATTTTTTTGGAACACGGAACCTGACGAAACCTGACAGAGGACTGAGAGGGCATGCTAGTCCTGTCACCTACTAACAGTGTTCCCATCTTGCCTCCTGTATTCCTACCAAATTTTGGCCCTCTAGGTCCACGGGAACCGGAGTTGTGAATTTCCTGTCAAACACCACACACACATACACATACACACACATACACACAGGTACACACACCACATACAGACAAACCAACAGACACACTTAGCGCGTTATATATTATCTATAACAGCCCTTCTATACAAAGGCTCTGCTCTACAATCGTCTCGAAACTATAGCTTGTTATCTTAACGCTCAGACTCACACTGCAAGAAGTTGCACCCAATGAGACCTTTATAACATTCATAAGTGAAATTTCTCCACTGTAAGAACAGGCAACAAAACTCTGAAAATAAATTGTTCTCTCCTTTCATTCCGGGTAACGACAGTATAAGTGAATTTGCGCCGAGGTTATTTATTAGCTACTACCTAACTGTTTGATGAGACGCCCGTCCCGACCATAGCTAGTGAATATACAGGGTGGCCCAAAATAATTATTCCGCGAAGAAAAAAAAACCAATTGTCTTTCTCAGTATATAAACAAAAGCAATCAGACTTGGCACATAGTTTATGAAGACAGCTGCAAATTAGAGTTGAGAGTGGTCACTCAATGTGGCATTCCTTAGCCTTCACGGCAGCCTTCAGACGCTTAGGATACGAGTCGATGACGGACCGCAGGTATGTGAAGTCGATTTCATCCCACGCCTCCTTCAAAGCCGACGCGAGACGATATTTTTGTGGAATAGGCCTTCTGCTCGGTCGGCACCGACCACACCGAGTATTGCAATCGGTTGAGATTGAAGGAGACGGACGACCATTCATTGGCAGGGATAGAGGCCGGTTGCTTGGCCGCGCACCAAGCCTGGGTTTTCCGAGACTTGTGAGCGTTCACGCAGTTTTGCAGGCAGCCTACCGCTTGTTTTTAGTGTACCTGGCTCCGAGGCAGCAGCTCATTCTATAAAATGTGCTTGATGTAGTTATCCGTGTCGATCTTCTCACGTAGATCTCGTAATCGTAGAGGAGTTCTCCCGGTGGCGCACTCTCCCGCCCATATCATCACGCTAGGTGGGTGAGAGTCCAAAGACGACTCCCCCTGGAATCGGCCTGCAGGTGATGAGGCTGGCGCCGGCGTATTTTGGGTGCTCAGCGCTGCCTCCACTGTGGACAGCTTCTCGCCAGAGGGGTCACGAGGTGCTTCCCGGCAGCGGTCCACGCATTCTTGTTCGTAGGGCCATGGCATAATCTGATCTTGTAAGGATAGTGCCCAAGGTGATCATGAACAACCTTTCGATGGATTGTCGACCTTGACATTGAACCTCTTGGCCATTTTCCGCATGCTGCGACGAAGATTCCAGTCGATGCTCTCAATGACGGCTCTTCGATTTGCAGAAGTCGTTGTTGTGCGTGCATTTCCAGTCGAGGACAGTTGCCAATCATACCAGCTTCATAACCTCGATTCTTCTAGACGGCATGGCGGTAGGCGGGCAGCTTCTTCACCATGAGGAATGGGGTGTCGCCAGCGTCGTGTAAGCGCACAATGGCGCCACGCATAGGACTAGCACGCTCACCTTGGACTGACTAGTCTGAGTTTGTTGAAATACAGTGAAAGCGATGAAATCATATCACTTCCAATAATAACCCATCAGATTTACAGTATATCAACATCAATGTGTAACACTACTCGATCAAAGTTTGTACAATATTTTTGGGCTTGCAACTAGGATTGCGTCATTTGGGAAGCAACTACAATTCCATTCTATCAGTAATAATTTAACAGTCTACCGCCGGTCGTTAGAATATTTGTTCCTAACCTATTCATGATCTCATCAAAAAATTCTATAAAGTCTCATTCATTCCTGCTAGATCGCAACAGTAGCAGGAATGAATGCACCATGGTAGCACTTTTAAGAATTATCTTCCTCTTTTTGAACTAACAGAATACAAACGGTGCATTAAGCAAGAAATTTACCCCGTGTTCAACAACCCTCACAACTTTCATCGATTTTCGATCGTTCACACTCAGTCTGTACAATCCAACCACATCCACAAATTGCATAAGCATCATCTTCATAAATCAGCCGGGCCGCCCGGCTAACGCCGGGCTTCCCTCGTACTTATGGTAGGGCTGTAATAATCGGCAAATCGACTCCTCCTTATTTGGAAAAAGTGATATTTTTCGGTAGACGAAATTTGAAAGGGAACCAATATGGCATGCAGGATGTATTCAAAATGAGCCGATGCTTATGCCTATGATTAGAATTCTCACTCTGTTGCTGTTCAGCTTAACAATAATGACCCATTGAAGGCTCAACTGGTAGGCAACCGAAGCCTCGAATGATACTCACAAATGTTTTCGAGCCATACCATTATCAAATGTCTTTATCAATAAAGCTTCCTTTCTTCACGGATATACCATCAAATGAGAATCCAAGATTATTAGCGGTCGGATAAGTTTCGCTGATTGTGATATCGAAGCGAAGAGAAACAGTCGTAAATAACAAAGGCATTGGATTCATTTGGTGAGTTTATCTTGCTTACTGAAGCCTCTTCCATCGTCAGTGTTCCCATCCTGCCACCAGTTCTCCTACCAAGTTTGAACGCCCTAGGGTCAAATTGACATTTTTCACGCAAACCCCGCCTTCTCTGGGAGGGGCCCGGTCCTTTCCCCCACCATGAGTGTTCCCATCCTGTTTCCTGTAATCCTAGCGAATTTAAACTTTCTAGGTCGACGGTGACAAGAGGTATGATTTCCCGCCAAAACATTTGTTCCGCACAAACCCCGCCCCCTGTAGGCGGTGGCCGGTCCTGCCACTCCCCATGAGTGTTCCCATCCTGCCGCCCGTACTCCTACCAAGTTCGAACGCTTCGAGTCCACGGAGACGGAAGTTACGAACTTCCAGTTCGTTTCATTTCATTTTTTGTTTTCGTTTTCATTCCAGAACACACACACACACAAACACATAAACATTAGCGCGTTATATATAGTAGGATAGAGTGACTGTTACATGGTAGATGGCCATAATTTAGGACTTGAAATGCCCCAGCACTCATACTAATAAGTTTAAACCGTGCTCAAGGTTAAGAACCTATGACCGTACCGTGTTCCACTAGAGAAACGGCAGGGAAGTTGAACGGCGAATCGAAGGAATGTACTTGTAGAACTAAGTACGAGGAAATTCGCGTCTCCATTAGTGCTAGTCAAAAGTTTCTGATCAAGACCAGATGCACAAGCTTTCACGTTGTTGGTGCTCAGGTAATAGTTGTTAGTTCAAGTGTTAAGTAGCAGTTACAGGTTTATTCAACTGTACTTTTCATCTATAAGAGATGGTTTCCTTAGTCTGGGTTTTCCGCAGTCTCGATAGCTGTCACCCTGAAAGCGGGCATTTTAATCTTGTCTTAGTGTGCAAAAAAGAGAAACAAAAATCGCAGCTGCACACACATTGAATAGTTCAAAGAGCTCAGAGCCCAAGCATAAGGCATAAGACAAAATGAAAGTAGTCTCAAAGTGACATATTCTTTTTGTCTTTTTTTTTATCTGTGTCCTTTCTTTGACTATGGCCTTTCCCATCGCAAATGTGATAGCCGCAGAGGAATAAATGGAGGAGCTGGGAATCTAAAATACTTCAGCCTCGAAATACTCTCCTCGTTTTCAGAAGAGTGAATCAAAGCTGAAAAAGCGGCAGCACTTGGCAAAGGCAACGCACATTGTCTATCTGGATTGATCACACGCTTCCACGCCGTGATTGCAACAATGATATGCTTTTGGTCGATGTAGCTCTGCCGTCCGAGCTGAGGGTGCAGGAGCAGCTGCGAATGCAGGTGGATTTTATTTTTTGGAAGAAGCACGATCAAGGGAAGTATCCAGAGAGGGGCGACATTTTAGGGTATCTCATTTTTTTAGAAGTAGAATTAAAATATAACCGCGAGCATGCCTCCCACTTAATTTTCGGAAAGCAGATAGTGTGAGGGTGGATTGTTGGCACTCTCACCTGAGCGACGATGTGAAAGCTTATCTACTGCACCATACCTTATCCATCTTATAACGTTGTCGTTTGAGCTTAAGTTGTTCACCGACTTGTATTCGTATGACATCCATTGTACCATCCTCATCAATCACCAGAGACGCACCTTCAATACATTAGATTACATTAGATTACATTAGGGAAAAGTGTAGCGAGCTGATGAAGACTTTAAAAGGATGGACTCACCCATACTACCAACTCCGCTTTGAACTCTGTAACCTGGGCTGGAGAAAATTGTAAGTAAATGCTGTCCAACCCTCTCATAACCGCCCATTGGAGGCTGATGAGCACGAACGATTAGTGAGAGCTGAAGACAAATCGAATCGTGCAAACGATGAAAAAGGGTCACTGTCGATCAATCCTTTTGATATCTACGACGCTTTCAACTTCCAGTCGTAGGCGTGGTACCCGCGTGTTCACACAGTCACTATAATTCGAGGGCACCCATAGATATGTTTGTTAGCGTTGAACTTATTTGCCCGAACAAAGCTGATGAAATAGATCGAGCTTGAAGGGATACGGAACTCATTTGTGACTGAGAATTGATGCCCTTCTGAAAAGAACGATGAATGGCTAATAAGAAGTTCGACTGCAGCTGCAAGAGGAGTAGGACAGTGCGAAAAGGTCCGCATTCACAATGGGAACCAAGTCAGTCGAAATCGTCTTTATTTGATGTGCTTCCCGGTCGAATAAGCTCGCAATTTTCTAAAGCACGTGTTTACGGGACGTGTACATATGTTAATTGCAAGTATCACTGGAATTTATTTCAGCCGTTTCTTGAAGAAGCAGTCCACGATAGTTTTGAAATATCTTTTTGAAGTCGAGAAGCGGATGTATTGGTTGGAAATAGTACATGAGTGGTGAAGATAACAAGAAACTTCGTTCATTTTGCGAGAAATGAAGCTTCTCAAAAGTAGGGAAAATAGAGGTTGGACGAGATTACTACGACGGAATTGACATGGAGAGGGTACTCGGACGAGATTTCAGTGGTTGCAATTGCGCGAAGAGTTGACTACATCAAGTGAAGACTGTTTAGAATAGCGCTTCACTGTCGCTAATGGTCATGGCAATTTGTTTGAGCTGCCTACATGGGTTCCAATGTGGAAGATGCAGCCTAAATTATGCATCTTTGAGTCTTTATAACGTTCTATCGCAGACCATTTTCCTTCCTGATTGCTCCACATATGTACGCGAGGAGGTGACATATTGATCCTAACGGTATATTTCACGAACCATGTTTATCGTAAACTGTGCCTTTGAAATGGGCTCGTACGGGATATTTCAGGGAAATGGGAACAAAACATGAGTCGTGTACAGCTGCGTGAAGCAGACCTTATTAAGCAAAAATGCCGAGAATGGGCTTACACTGTGGCCATGGGTTGGGTGAATGGCAAATGGAGTTTTGTGCCACTGCAAAATTCGCATAGTTATTCTCAATCATTGCTCTTATGTTGCTATGCAGTTGTTGTTATTGTGTTTGTTTTACATACCAGGTTTGAGCTTTAGGTCCACGGGGACAGGAGTTGTAAATTTACAATCAACCGTTTATTTGAACCCGCATCCTGGGGGCGGAATATGGTCCAGCCACCTGGCATCACTGTTCTCATCCTGACGGCTGTATTCCTACCAAGTTCGAACGGTCCACTAGAACAGGAGTCAAATACAAATACAAATACAAATACAAATACAAACACAAACACACACACAACACACACACGCATGCACACACACATATACACACATGCACACACATACACACACACTAACACCAACACCAACACCAACACCAATACCAACACCGACACTAACAAACCAGCAGACATCACTCAGCGCGTTATACGTGTGGGGCTACAATATTCTCTCATCAGCTGTTCGAATTTCAAGAGTATGTGCTCCATTGTGAATAGTGCAGCTTCTGCAGTGCCATTATAACAAGATCACTTCTGTGTGAGATGTACAATGAAGGCAATTTCTGAGCAATTATAACTCTCGTCTGGACTGTTTTCTGATTCGATCCTATAAGCTCTTTGATGACGAAGTACGGATTCTCAAATATCATTTTCATCGTGGGTCGTGCCTTTGAGCCAGTGCACTTCAATGGCCTTTTGATTGGAATGGAAGTCGACATTGACACACTTCAGTGCAAGCGTTTGGAACAACGTTGCTTTTTTCAATCAGAATATATTTAAGTTAAGGATAGCTTCTTGAAACTGCACCTTGTTATCCCTGACGAACTTCTTGATTTGTATAGGTCCGAAAAGATGACCGAGGCCCAAGCCTGACGGATCGCGAAGTGTGTTGGGCTAAATGGTATGCTGTAGCATATGAGAAGCAGACGAGTGTATGTATGTACAGCTCACTCTGATTTCTTATATATCATCAAAGCAACTCTAGCATTATGCCCCACAGGACACATACTAATGACCAGAATGCGGTTATGTTCACTCACATGGACTTATTGCTAGATAAACAAGGGTACATGAGAAATACTATTTGTGATAGCCACACTAAACTATATTTCGTACTTCAGTTACAGCTGTCGCCCGCCAAAGGTCATCGCAAATTGCTATGGCGTGCGCCAATTTCAGCAGAAATCTGAAGCTGCGCATGCCATAATAACTAGTAAAAAATTCTCAGAGTAGAGGCATGACGGAAAGGTTTCAAAAATCCTTGGAAAATGGGGGGCGGGGATTTTCAAAGGGCTTGAAACTGGTTCTTACCTCATATTTCCACTTGCTTGGATGAGGGTCAGACCACAAAATGTCAATGTATACTTCTTCCTTGTTATCCTTTGTCAGCGGTCTTTGTATGGCTGCTATTTCAGCAACTGTCTGGATCCGAGGTGACAGTCCACCGTGCATGCAGATTATCTGATTACTGATCAGACAAGCTATCGGCATCATGCTGTAATAGAATAATAGAAGGTGTGGCTCTCAGAAATACCCTCCACAGCAAACCTGATCGATATTTCGGTTCTTCACATCAAGGAGGTGTAAGTTGCAAAAGAAATATCGGAAATTGTAGAAGTGAGTTATTTTAAAACCAGTTGGGCTATGCACACTAACGCGTGCACAGTGCCATACCCAACACCGCTTACCTAGACTTGTTAGAGGACGAATACAAACAGTAACGGTTTACTTTCCTTTCTAACCGTTTCCCCATCAGGTGATATTCCCCATTTGAACGATCCGATCCCGCTTCGTGGGTATTGATCTCTTGACACCAGTAGGTGGTCGTGGAATTGTTTCCATTCTGACCTTCTCGAGTTCCTAGAGGTTTGATTGTGGGCGGATGACGGATGCTGATTTTTAGTCTGTGACGTCATAAATAGACTGGACTAATCAACGGACCAATATAAAGAGCATCGGTTGACTTTCCATTTCATACCTGTTTTCTCACAGCGCTCTTGTGATCTTCACGCCCTTGATCGGGCTTACGTGACTTTTGGGAGGACACACAAACGGGCATACAAACGGACACACACAGCTAGCGTTTTATATATAGAGAGGACTAATCGTAAGCTCAGAAAAATCACCCATTAGTCGCTATTGAAAAAACGATTAGAGCGGAGCTAACTCTTAGAATTTTTGCTTTCTCCACCTTCTTCTCTGCTCAGCATCATATCCACGCCCGCCAGCCTTAGTAAGCACCTATCCACACCCTTTGCGGGAGCATCTTTCTTATTTTCAGCTTAGCAGTTCTGCTTGATGGGAGGACTTGCCATCTTCACTTCAAACCGGTCGAGACGAACAGCAGGCCCATCACGACATATTCATTTCTAAAGAGTGAGCTTGCTCCATCATGAGTTCTATCTGGTTGCCAGCACTCTCTGCCAAGAGCACAGTAGGTTCCACCAGTGGTCTTTAGAATTTTTCTTCGAGCCTCTTGCAGCACCGATGACCTCAGAGGCTACCAAACTCCCTCCATCCCATCCACGCCATTTTCTTACCAGTTAGAGGCTTCTAGTTCAGCCCAAGCTACCATGGACCACTTCCCAGATATCGAACGCCTTGCGATTTTACGATTCTATGAATTTTTGCTCTGTAATGCACTCGGAGCTGAGTAGTATACTTTTTATCACATGCACTCCGACCCTATTCTGCACCCCGTGTTATTTTTGCAGCTTTGACTCTCTTTTACAGCTCCCATTTGTTTCGCTTTTGTAGTGCTTATCAAATTAATATTTGTGGATAGCGGTCAAACGTATTTCCGTAAATGAGACTTGGATAAAGGGTCCACACTTTTTTCATTCTTTTTTATCAGTTATCCAGCTGTAGAAATGGTCCACGTTTTTAATCTGTTGGGCATGGAGCCTGCGTGCCGCTCTGGTTGGATCGGTACAAGTACTTTCAATTTTGTGTTCAGTAGCCTTCTGTGCAAACTCTATTGAAATTTGGTAAAGAAATTATTTAGTGCCACATGTAGCTCAACTAAGAATAAATATGTATAGTATGAAAACATGTGCATATTCTTCAATCACTAATGTTGCACGCTACGAGAAGCCTACTGCTTAACTCAGCCAACACAGGCATCGAGTCATTGGGAACTTAGCTTAACGTCCACTGAATAACGAATGCTGTATTATGTGGTGACTGTAATACTGCTGTCTTTTCGAAGGTAGACATCGACCTACACTCAACATCTCGACTATCCTTACCGCTCATTCGAACTGGATGCCGAATAGAAATACGTACAGTATAAAAGCGAATAATGAATAAAAATTCGAGACTATGTACTATATGCTTCCACTCTATACGTATTTTTTTATTTTCACGTGAGCTGTACGTTGAACCATGTGATCTTACTTTATCTTTCAACGGTAATATCACAGACTCTATATTATTCTTTTACGCAACCACCATCTCTATACCATTGCCAAAATCTTTCTCATACTTTTCGGATAATACTAGAGACTATTCAACTTTATACCACTTTTATCCGGATCTGAATACATGAGCCGCCAATCCTTTTTGTAGAATGGCGTCTTCCCAGAAGAAGTTTGGCAGTGGAATCAAGGAGGAGGGTTGGTTCAGCCTTCCTTACCATGCCGCAGTCGCTGACAAGACTGACAAGTTTAAGCTTATGGTCGATAGTCCTTGAAATCAGAGGTTGAGGCCGTGCATTCTACGAATGGGTAATGGGCTCAGAATATAATCAGTAGAGTTCCCATTGGCACAGGGTTCGAATTACTTTGTTTGGATTGTTGTAGTTTATTTCTCATTTAGTCATATGTAACGCATCCGCACCAGTTGTCGTCGTATCTTGAGCGATACAACTTACACCGAATGCCTTGCGTACGCAGAAGAATATTTCTTGAATTTACAATTTTGTGCTGCATATCTCCATCTCTCAGCTCTCAGTGAGCTGAACTCGCTCAAGAAGCTGCGTTGCAATTATGGTGAGAAACGTGATCGTGACAGAATGAGCGAGAAATCCACAGACCCTACTGAGCTTCTTGTTTCCATATTTGAAATCCCTTCGAAATTGAAGTGCCCAAGAATTTGTAAGCTCATTGGGCGAGGAAGCTGACCTGAACACTCCCTTGACTTTACGATACAATTTTCTGAACGACTTCGGGAATCGTGCCTTCAATTCGCTGTAGAAATTGTACGCCTGGAACGGAGTGCGTAAATGGAAAGTATGGAACAAGAAGGTGGTTGTCGGAAACTGCTAACTTTATTGACTTGTTCCTCTTCATGGTTACCTCGACATACAAATACGCTTTTTGGCCATACGATTTTCAGTAGCAGTACGAACATTAGTACCTGGAAAGCCTCGTAAGACATGTTCGGTGCTATTTTGTTTTACCGCGTTTGGTGTGTAAAGAAGGAAGGAAAGGAAGGAAAGACAAGACTTGTGAAAGGAAAAAAGACATCACAAATCTTTGTTGTCAGGATCAGATCCTTTTCGAGTTGAACACTATCTTGCATGTGCAGGAGATAGAATAAAATCGGACGTCCACTCATACAAGATTTCTGGGTGAACCGAATAAGCCGGATCTGACCTCTGTGCTGTGACGACCTCTGTCAACGTAATCTCCTAGGAAAAGTGTGCGAGTTCCAGGAGGCCATCCATTCACGTGAAACCACCTCCATATATCACTATATTGACCATGTATATCTCCATATATGGCGATAGGCACGGTTAACTTTAGAAATTGTTGGTTATTCTGGTTTAACGGCAAGCCCTACAAATACTGCTGCATTAGGAAAACTCACTTCGAGAAGTGTAGATTCCTGGGAGAAAATGTCGTAAGCCTTGGCGAGAATGGCAATCATAATTTCGTAATTCCATTCTATTTCACACGGGCCGAGTCGAATTACCTTAACAGTAGCAAATACTACCATGTTCGTTGGAGAAGAGTACTCTGGAGTCTTTCTCAAGTTTTAGCTGTCTCCATCTATTATTTTATGTGTGTATTCAATTTCGACATGTAGATGAAGATTATGCTGTGGATCAGCGCTAGGTGTTCAGACCGTTATAGAGCACCACTGAACATAAGAGCTTGACAACCCTCAAATGCAAAAATTCTATATCATTCACCCAGTGACAGCGTCAGCGAGAGTCTACAGACTCCACTCTCTCTATATGTAAATACAATCCAGTGCACGAAGTAACAGAATGAACAGTAACTTGTAGGTTCTAAGAGGCCACTTATCGCAGGCTGGTGGTGCATGTTAATTTCAGTATTCTGCGAAAATGTTACTTATCCTTTCCAATTAAGCTCATGAGCTCAAGGAAACGGGCAGGAACCCGAACTTTGTCCTCAATTTAACACAACTGGGACTACACTTGGTATCACACTCGAATTCTAGTGTCATCGTTGATCTCAGCGGATTGAAACATCATCAGGTTGGGCTCAGTGACTTTTTCAAACAATTAATATGTCGAAGCAGACCTCCGTTAGAATATCCTCCATTTTTGAGGCATCATCCACTCCAGATAATTTCGCTTGGTCTTTGGCTTCACGATATGTGATGCGATCGTTGGTAGAATAGGTGATGACCTTTGAAACTTTTCAAATAAGCGCTTTGTCATGTTTCCTCACAACTGTCATTTTTGTACAAGAGTATAAGAAGGATTGCGTCAAGCGGTGAGAGGCGGCGATCAGCAGCTTTTGTTTACTGCCCGAAATTTATGTACACTTATCAATTAAGTACCAATTACGGTCAGTTTAAGCCCCAGAACAACTCACCGAATGCATTTTTACTGAAGTCAAAGAAATGAATGAACCGTTACTCCCTTTCGTAACGGTGTCTATGATGCTGTTTACTTCAGAGGACGACATCTTCGGTTGGGCCAGAAATTGTGTGAGATCTAGCTAAACCATGACTACTTTCGCTTTGACCGGTAATAGTGATGATCAGATTCAGAATATAATAAAATTGTAACGTACATGTATTTTCTTGCTGTATTTGGCATAATTATCACCACATCTAATGGAATGTCCGTAGTTAATAATTAAAAGTGTTAACTGAAATGGTTGTTTGAACAAAGAACAATTGTTTGAACACCGTGGGCCGTAGAAATTTGACATTGATGTGCTAAACTCTTTCTTTCCAGAAATCGTAGTTGCGTAGCGGCCCCTACCATCAGTTGCTATCAGTTCCTCTGACCAACCATCTACCACCCTTACATTCGGGAAACCTCCTGCTGGGGTGCGCTTCGTTGCGCGCGTCCGTCAAAACTAGGTCACGCCGCAGTCGTCGCATGCAGCGGGTAAGCACGCGATACTTGACAGACGTCGCAGTTGTCAGTGGGGCACACGATTTGCGCTTTGTACACGGCAGCCAGCCAGAGAGAAGATAACACGAACAAATGTAAATCGTTCGCTCCACTGACACTTGGTGGTACTATAATGCCATCTTGAGACCTCGGTGGGGTGCGCCGCGCGCAGTGGGCGGGGTGACCTACTTTCGACGGACGCGCGCAACGGACGTTCTTCCTTCTGCTGGGCTGCCATGAATTCATTGTTACCATGGAAGGGGTTACAAACTCAAAAAAAGGCACTATTTACCCTTTACTGCCCCACCTTGTGACTGGATTCCTATCAAATTTTTTTCAAGATGACGAAACTGACTAGAAATTTGCCTAGAGAGGTAATTAGACCCTAAAACACGAATATCGCATTTAGTCGTCATGAAAATGCCTGTAAGTATGATATTCATGTTCAAACACACTACTTAAGAGCAAGTTTTCAACAAATTGGTGACCCAGCGCCAATTGGCGCCCACGCCTGTGGTGCGGGCTTCAGACATTTTCATGACGAATGTATGCGATATTCGTGTTCTACGGGTGAAATAACGCCTCTAGGCAAGTTTCTAGTCGGTTTCATTTTCTTGAAAAAAATTCGATAGAAATCTAGCCCACTCTCGACAAAGTGGGCAGTAAAGGGTAAACAGTGCCAAAAAAAAAACTATTCTGTGGTACTATATAAAATTCTTCAATTTTTACCTTTGTTATGTCATCTATAATCATTGTTTACATCATGCAGTCATGTATCTCTTCGCATTTGACCCCTTCAGGTCTAGGTTGACAGAAGTTATAAGCTTCTACTTAAATGCATTTACGGCACGAGCATCGACACACACTGAGACACAACGGGTGTGCGACGTTAGTCTCGACTGACTTTACTCCGCGCCGAGGTGCGAAGTGACCTTATTGATGACTAACCTCATCTTAATTACGCGCCTCCCCTTGATCGTAACTAACCTTATCTCACTTATGAGATGATGAGGCGAATGATGAGAAGATGAATCTTCAAGATGATAACTTTTCTAATGTAAATTTCTCATGGTCTTCAGTTTAAAGAGTTTTATTATAATACCATGCAAGATGATAAAAATTCCAACAAAAATTCCCAATAAAATATAGAGAAGCCTTTTTTTTTATAAGAAGTATCTTAAAAATGATGATTAAACAAAAAACAACTCAGATTTCTTGCTCGTTACCAATTTGGACATCTCTTGAGGTACTGGGGAGGGAATTGAAGAAGGTCGGGTAGTTTGGAGCGAAGGCTGCGGTACGGTTTTGAGCGGTTCGGTAGGTACGGCAGTAGCATAGTAATAGGGCTGGGGTGCATATTGAAGCTGCATTGAAGCTGAAGGGTACCCCGTGAGATCTCGGAAGTAGTAGAAAGTGTCGTCAGAATCCCACCAGCTCAAATACTATCTGATGACCTCTCTTCGATGTGCTGAATTAAGCCAGAAGTATTGTAATAGTCCGTGAGAAGTGTGAAATGGCCTAACTGATCAGCCGGCGGGCGTTCAATGACTTTCAAACACAATATGCCTCAATATCAAACAACTACGTCTCTTTTATAAATGTTGTTTGATATCACAGACGAGTGGAAACTCAAAAAAAGCATGTTTTTTACATCTTACATAAACTTCATTTTTATGACCATCGAGTTTTTCTATTCTATAGAATTTTTTAAATTTTTCTATTCTATATAGTAATAAAACTCTTTAAACCAAAGACCATGAAAATTTTACGTTGAAAAACTAATTTTGTTGGAATTCCACTTTCTCATCACTCTCATGACTCGCCATCACTCTCATAAGTAAGGTGAAGCCAGTTACGATCAAGGGGAGGCGCGTAATTAAGATGAGGCTAGTCATTAATGATGTCACTTCGCATCTCGGCGCGATGTAATGTCAGTCGAGACTAACGTCCCACACCCGGACACAACGAGACATACATACACATCGACACACCCTTGACACCTACATACCAGCAGCTACACTTAGCAAATTTTGTATAGTAGGTTTATGATTGACCTGTACACCATTAAAAAGTGATAAATGGTGGAACATGATGATCACTGTTCCCTCACAGTTCACTGTCAGTTACCGAGCCCAATTGGAAACAGTAAACAGATGAAAGAAGGCTTATTTGTTAATAGAAGGGGCTCTTAATTTATGAAATCGCAATTCTAGAAAGGGAGGTGCTTCCCGACATCAAGGAAAAGGCAGAGAGCCCCATCCATGGTGGCAATGAGAAAATATTACGAAGACAAGGATGTTCCAGCAGCTCTCTCTTTTTAGTTACTTATTTTCTGAAACCAACGGGGATCCCTACTTTGCTCCAGAAACTCATCATTTCATTTGTTGCTCATTCTAATTATAAATTGCCACATTCTATGAATCTTGGCATCCTGTGAGTTTCGGTATGAGGGTGTGTGGTATAGCCTCAGCCAAGATGGTACAGCACTTTATTCAGTCAACGTTT